AAAGGGATGGCTGACAGCAATGCTGCACAATAGCCCACATCCTGCAATGGGAATCTGTTGATAATAACCCGAATGAACTTAATGGTTTTCTGTGAACTTCACTGCATCTAATCTTTAAGGATTGATTGTTTGGGGAGGTAGAAAACATGAAACTCAAGCATACCTGCCTGTCCTTGCTAAGTGCAATGGATTGAATGTTTGTGTCCTCCCAAAATTCACATGTGGAAACCTAATCCCCAATGTGATAGTACTGGAAGGTAGAGCCTCTGGGAAGTGAATAGTACATGACCTCAGAGCCCTCTTTAATGGGTTTACTGCCCTTATAAAAGAGGCCACAGAGAGTTGCTTTTCCCTTTTACCATGTGAAGTTATGGCAAAAAAAGATAAAGGCAGCTGCCTATAAGCCAGGAAGCAGGTCCTCACTCAGACACCAAATGTGCCAACACCTAGATCTTAGACTTTCCTGCCTCCAGAACTGTGAGAAATAAACCTCTGTTATCTATTAGCCATACTGTCTATGGTTATAGTAGACTGAGTGGACTAAATCAGAACTGGTACCAAGCTGGGCACAGTGGCACACACCTGTAATTCCATCGGCTTGGAAGGCTGAGGCAGGAGGAATGTGAGTTCAGTCAGCCTCAGCAATTTAGTGAGGCCCTAAGCAACTTAATGAGACCCTGTCTCATAATAAAAAAATAAATAAAATAAAATAAAAAGGATTGGGGATGTAGCTCAATGGTAAATTCTCCCAAGGTTAAACCCCAGTACCCTCCCCACTCCCGCTCTGCCATGGATATTTGGCTGAGGAGAAACTATCTAAAGGAGCAGGCTGGTTCCTCTTAACTGTTTATAGTAAAATGCAAGGAAGAGAAATGATTTAAAAAGATGGAACTGTAGCATTTGCTTTGGCAGCATATACACTAAAATTGGAACAATAGATAGTATTATTCATCAAGGGGAAGCAGAATGTAAAGAGAAATTTGTCACAAATTCGGCCTATCCATATTGAAGAAAAATGAGAAAGTTTGTTTGGAAAGAACATTAAGGTTGGGGCTGGGGTTGGGGCTCAGCGGTAGAGCACTTGCTTATTAGCATATGCGAGGCGCTGGGTTCAATCCTCAGCACCACATAAAAATAAATAAAATATTGTATCCAACTACATCTAAAAAAAAATACACACACACACACACATATATATTTTAAAAAAGAACATTAAGGGGCTGGGGATGTGGCTCAAGTGGTAGCGCGCTTGCCTAGCATGCGCGTGTCGCTGGATTCGATCCTCGGCACCACATACAAACAAAGATGCTGTGCAGCCGAAAACTAAAAAATAAATATTAAAAATTCTCTCTCTGTCTCTTTCTAAAGAAAAAAAAAAAAAAGAACATTAAGGTTGTGGCCAGAAACCATATCATAAGGAGACTAATATGCATGAACCATCTCATAATAAAAAAAAATAAAAAGGATTATTGGGTACTATTTTCCAAGAAAAGGGAAAAATAACTCCAAAGGCAATTCAGAAATCATTAGGGTTACCCTTTTTCATCACAACCCCAGGGCTCTGGGGATAGAGCAGTTTTCCAAAGAGGGGCCTATGGGACCTCATCCTGCTCAGTGCTCCTTATTTTGCAGTCATCCTGGGTGCAGTTCCAGCAAGCCTTGCTGTAGCACTTAGCAAATCTATACAGGTGTGGTTGCTTCTACATAGATTTCAAAGGACAGAGCCTCTCAGCAGAATTGTGTGCTCAGGAACCAAGCCTATGGGCCCTAAGCAGAGGAAAGAGACACACAGCCACCACTAGGACAGGATCACCCAAAGCCATAAGCATTAGGGCCACTGGAGGCCCTGGGAGCCTGGCAAAATTTCAGGAGCAGGACCTACCATCCCAGTGGGTCAGGAAAATGGAACCTCTGTCCTAGTTGGTTAGAAAGCTAAGACCCCAGCTAAACTGTGTCCAAAAGGCATGACTTGTGCCCCAGCAGACTTGTAGAGTATCAAGAGTATTATTCTCAAGCATTAGGAATACTAATGGAATATAACTGGTTGGATCTTGAGTTTCAAATTCTAATGGAATTTGACCTGTTGAGTTTTAAGCTTGCTTGGGGACTTATCACTCCTTTCTTCCTCCTTTTGGAATGGGAATGCCTATCCTGTGTCTGTCAGACTGTTATATTCAGAAGCACATAACTCATTTGATTTCTTAGGTTCAAAATTGAAGAGAAATTTGTCACAAGATGACCTACACCTTGAGTTTCACTTATGTCTGAATTATTTAGATGAGGCACTGAATTTGGACTTTTAAGTTGATGCTGAAATGAGTTAAAATTGTGGAGAATACTGGGATGAAATGAATATATTCTGTATGCAAGGACATGAATTTAGAGGGCCAGAGGCAGAATACATAACTTATCTTGGTCTAATCCACTGAGTCTTGATATATAATTTTGGCAATTGTGAAATTATAGAAGGCTAAGCTATTAAACCACATGCTTAGGGCTGGGGTTGTGGCTCAGCGGTAGAGTGCTCACCTAGCACGTGTGAGGCCCTGGATTCAATCCCCAGCACTACATAAAAATAAATAAAATAAAGGTATTGTGTCCAACTACAACTAAAAAACGAAAAAAAAATGCTTCAAAAAATTTATTCCCAGAATCTTTACTATCAAATCAAACACAGTTATAACCAGAGACATAGCCAAGCGCAGTGGTGCATGCCTGTAATCCCAGTGGCTCGGGAGGCTGAGGCAGGAGGATCGTGAGTTCAAAGTCAGCCTCAGCAAAAGCGAGGTGCTAATCAACTCAGTGAGACCCTGTCTGTAAATAAATACAAAATAGGGCTGGGGATGTGGCTCAGTGGTAAAGTTCCCCCCACAAAAAAAAATTACAACCAGAGGCATGCTAACTGTTTATGCATTACCACCTTCGTATGAATCTAACTTTGAAGATGCCTATTGGGTCTAAATGCATGTTAGAAAAATGAGATCCAATATTTTCAAAGTTTTTTTTAAATTTATTTTTTAGTTGTAGTTGGGTACAATACCTTTATTTCACTTATTTATTTTCATGTGGTGCTGAGGATCGAACCCAGGGTCTCACATGTGTGAGGCAAGTGCTCTACCACTGAGCCAAAACCCCAGCACCACAAGTTGTTTTTTGTTTTTTGTTTTTTTTAATTTTTTTAGTTGTAGTGGACACAATACCTTTATTTTATTTATTTATCTTCATGTAGTGCTGAGGGTCAAACCCAGTGCCTCACATATGCTAGGCAAGCACTCTGCCACTGAGTTACAACCCCTGCCCTTCCCAAGTTTTATCTAAGTTTGTTTGGTTTTTTCCTTACATGCAGAAAATAGTCTTTATTTTGCCCTTGGAGTTAACTGTTACCTAGACTGGATACATTAAACTACTTCAAAATAACTTTATTTAAAAACTATGAAGATATTGCACTCTACTGTTTAGATTACAGTTTTGTTGGCATGAATATGCTGCCCTTTTTTTCTTTCTGGAAGATTTTTCGACTTAATATTTAGTGGTTAGCAGACTTTTCTTCCTTTGATTATAAAAAAAAAAAAAAATTGGGGGGGAGGCACTGGGGATCAAACCCAGGGCTTTACATATTCTAAGCAAGCACTCTGCTGCTGAGCTACATCCCTAGGCCCCTAAAATTATTTATTTTCAGACAGGGTCTCATGAAGTTTCCTAGACTGGCCTTGAATTTGTGATCCTCCTATTGGAGCCTTTTTTTTAAGTAGGGATTATAGGTGTATTCTACCATGCCCAGCATATTTTTTAAATCCTTAAGAGGAAAACAAAGCAATATGTAGTTAAAGTCTCTTAACTGATTTCTACTAAGTGATATGCTGAATTAATTGACCCATTATAGTTTTTCTGTAAACAGATTGGATTTTCTATCTTAGCCCATTTGTGCTGCTGTAATAGAATACCAGACACTGGTTTTACATGAAGAAAAGAAATATGTTTCTCATAGTTCTAGAGGCTGAGGAAGTCTAAGGTTGAGGGGCCAGCATTTAGTGAGGGCCATCATGCTGCATTATTCCATGGTAAAAGGTTGAAGGGAAGAGAGGGTGAGAAAAGTGGGAGCCAAATGGGCTTTTATAACAAATTCACTCTCCTGATAACCATAGAAAGCAGGCTATGCCCTGCTCTGACTTACTCCATAGTGAATATCACAATCGTTTTCAGGTTGTAATCCTGAGTTATATCATAGTTACTTCATTTTGAGTGTAAGTATGGAGGTAGAATGTCTCTCCACCTCTTTTGTATACAATCATCATTCCCTAGCACAATCATGAGACAAACTAATAAATTAATCATGGTAATAAAAATGAAGTTATTGAATTAAATTAGATATATATGGATGCATGGGCATATCAACACCATGTCAGTAAAACTAGAACCATGAGCTTATCAAATATATCAGACCAACAAAAGAAGCAAACCACTGACCTGAGACCCATTAAAAGAGAAGCCCCCCCCCCCCCAAGACTGGTCAGTGGCACACTGACCCTGTCATTTGGTAACTCATCATGATTCTTGCCCAGGAAAATTGTCACATCAATGAACCTCCAACACTTTGTCCTCAGGCTTCAGCTCAGCCTGGTTTCTCCTGCCCATGACAATGATGCATGGTCCATTTCAAACTGACACTTTGAGATAGTCACCTACCCAGACCCTGGCCTAAAATAAGTTCTGCAATTTTGAAAATTCTATACTGTGAACAAGTTCTTTGGTTGGTTCATGATATTATCTGACCTCCAGCTGTGACTCTTGCCATTGTATTTGTTTTTTGCCTTTGCTCTTAGTTTAGCCTCCTAAATCCCTGTGGCTACTATAATCCTTTCTGTATTTGCCAAGAGTTATTCTTCATATTGTATCACTTGATCTTATAATCATATGCATAAATAATTTAGCTACAAATATTTCTATATATGAAATCCTTATTGTGATTTAATATAACCACAAAAAGACAAAGATAATACCTTGGGATGAGAGAAGATGTTGCTCTTGATACTTCTCTTGAGGGAGTCCCAAGTAGGTGAGAACAACATACTTTGTTTCATAGTGAAATCCTAGAGGCATGGTAGTTGAGGACGCCATTGGATTGGCCAACAGAGCTCCTAAGAGGTCTACTTGCAGATGTGTAAAACCTAAAAACATAAAAGGGTTTCAGTTTAAAGTTTATTACATGCCAATATGTTTTCTCATTGATTCTGATTACGCAAATATCAAACTAAAAGTTGTCTCAGACATTTCTTTCCAGACATCTTTAAAAACGTAACTGTTTGTAATGCATACCTGTAATCCCAGCTGCTTCGGAGGCCAGCCTGGGTAGCTTAGAGAGACCCTAACTAAAAATAAAAATTTTCAAAAGGGTTAGGGATGTAACTCAGTGGCACTACACTTGCCTGGCATATATAAGGCCAAGGGTTCCAGTTCCAACGCCACTACAGGAAAAGAAAAAAAAAAAAAAGAAAGAAAGAAAGAAATGAAGTGCTTAATTTACATAAAATGGCATTCTCGGGGCTGGTGATATAGCTAGTTGCTAGAGTGCTTGCCTTGCATGCACAAGGCCCTGAGTTCAATCCCCAGCACCACAGGGAAAAAAAAAAAAAAGGCATTCCCCCATCCACCCAGTACTGAGGTTAGTACTAGCAATCCACCTAAGTAACAAATAATCTCTAGATAATCTAGGAAACCCCAACACACACACACACACACAMAAAAAAAATGTTCCTCTTTAAGACTTCTTTTGGGCTGGGGTTGTGGCTCAGTGATAGAGCACTCGCCTAGCAAGTGTGAGGCCCTGGGTTTGACCCTCAGTACCACATAAAAATAAAATAAATAAAATTAATGTGCCTAAATAAAAACAAATGCTAGACAGGCACTCTATTACTGAGCTGCATCCCCAGTCCAGGCCTCCTAAATTTTTTTTTTTTTTTTGTACTGGGGATTGAATTCAGAGACACTTGACCACTGAGCCACATCCCCAGCCCTATTTTGTATTTTATTTAGAACCAGGGTCTCACTGAGTTGCTTAGCGCCTTGCTGTTGCTGAGGCTGGCTTTGAACTCTCAATCCTCCTGCCTCAGCCCCCAGAGCCCCTGGGATTACAAGTGTGCACCTCCTGAATTTTTACGTAGCCCCAAGTCCACAGAGTTACAGACTACATGTACCAGTCTTCTCTGTAGTTTAATGTACTATAAGCCTGAACCAGAGAATGAGAAGTTACAAGTGTAATTGTAGGTCTCTCCTTAAAGACTGAGGATTTTATTCTGTGATTTAGAACCTGAACATGGCAGTGGCCTAGCTTTGATATTCAAATAAGGATACCACTCTAGGGATGAGTAAAGCAACCAGAAACAACTTGGGTCCCTGAATGATCATGTGAACCTGAATCTCTTGGAACACTTACCACTAGGCGTTATGTAAACCATTTTAATCTGAATCACTTCACTAGGCATCCTAATTTGTACCATAATCAATACAATCACAACTCTTACTTTATCATATGGACCTGGCAGCTACCATGTACTTGAATAGTTTCATGCTGGGTGTGGTGCGGGATGCCTACAATTCCAACAACTTGGGAAGCTGAGACAAGAGGATCAAAAGTTTGAGGTCAACCTCAGCAACTCAGTGAGACCCTCAGCAACTTAGTGAGACCTTGTCTCAAAATTAAAAATAAAAAAAGCTGAGGATGTAGCTCTATGGTAAAGGGTCCCTGGGTTCAATCCCCAGTAACAAAAATATAAATCATATTTCACACCAAAAACTATAAACCTCCCTTATCCACAAGTATTACATTCCAAAACTCTCCAGAGATGCCTGAAACCACAGGTAGTACCAAATCCTATATACACTACTTCATTCTTACTGTATGTAAATCTTAGCAATCTCAGTATATGACTGTTTTTCCTTTCCATATTGAAACCTTTTACTTTTCACTTAAATTCATGGCTTCTCTTTGCCAGAATCATTACTCTTGCACTTGGAGCCATTTTTAAGTAAAACAAGGTTAACCTGAATGCAAGCAATGTGATAGGGAGATAATTGGTCTGATAACCAAGAAGGCTAATAAATGACTAGCAGATAGGGCAGTAAATACAAAGTCTGGTCAGATTCTTCTTGGCCTCTCTGTGCAGCATTCCTTCTTCCAGGGTACAGGAAAGAAAAACATTTATCTGTTTATTATAAAGGCTATTACAAAGGATACAGACAAAGAGATGCACTGGTCACAAATGGATAATTAACTTCCTGAGCAGGATAGAGTAGGATGTGTTGAGATTTCATTTGATATTTTTGGACTGCAGCTGACCACAGATTAAGTGGAGCTATCAAAAGCAAAGCTGTATGTAAGAGGGGACAAATGCATCCAGTAAAAGAGGTTCAGTTAATTAGCAATAGGGGAAAATAGGCAATGTTAGCAAATTTAAGGTCTAAGGTAGTTCTCAATTGTAACATACTACTTTCATGTGAAGATTAGTATGCTAGATTTTTAGTTTGTTCTTTATTTATTTTGTGATAGTATTGAATGCCAGGGTTGCTCTACTACTGAGCTACATCCCCAGCCCCCCCACTTTTTTTTAGACAGGGTCTTGCTAAATTGCCTAGTCTACCCTTGCACTTGTGATCCTTCTGTCAGTCTTCTGAGTTGCTAGAATTACAGGTTTGCACAACCAAGCCCAGCAGGACAATAGTTTAAAAAAGGATATTGAATACTCTGTTTGGGAAAAAAAAAAAACAACAACTAAGTATCTTGTTTGTTTTTCCTCTACTTATCTATCAACCAAGACTTCTGACACTAGATATATGGGGGGGTTCCACACACACACAAGCCAGCATTCAATTCTCCAGCAGCAGATACAGCTGAGTGTCCTCTAATCTAATTCAGTTCTGACACAATCTGGAGATAGTATCAGATCCCATAGTTTGAAGACTCAAGTCTTAAAACTGTCGTCCCTCACACTCTCTTCACTTTAGAGGCCAGTCAAAAGGCCTACGTTGTTCCACAGGTGCTTTTGACCAATCGTCTATATAATCAGGRTTCCCACAACCTCCTCCTTGTGTTCAATTAATTTTCTCAAGTGGCTTTCAGAACTCAGGGAAAAATATTCATCTGTTTATTATAAAGGCTATTACAAAGGATACAGACAAAGAAATGCACTGGACAAAGTATGAGAGAATAGGCTCGGAACTTACATTCCTTCTCCAAGTGCCCCCACTTTCCTGGAATCTCCATATGTTCAGCTATCAAGCTGCTCTCAAAACCCTATTCTTTCATGTTTTTATGAAGACTTCATGGCAAGGCATGATTGAACCACAGTTAACTATGCAGAAATGTAATTGGACAAAAAGGTTATGATCTAATGCTTATAGACAGACTGGGTATAGAAACCAGACAAGGTATGTCGGGTCAAATTCTTCTTCACCTCTCTGTGAAGCATTCCTTCTTCCTGGGTACAGGACAAGAATTTTTTTTTTTTAGTTGTAGATGGATACAATACCTTTATTTTACTTATTTTTATACGGTGCTGGGGATTGAACCCAGGGCTTCATGAGTGCTAGGCAGGCACTCAACCACTAAGCCACAACCCCAGCCCAGGACAAGAATCTTCTGGAGGGAGGATGGATCTATCTGTCAAAGGCAGGTCAAATAATTTCTTTATTGTCAGCTCAAAGACAGAAAGGCAAGGAAAAGGAAAAGTTCCTACGATCCTCTTTGGGGAGGAAGTTATGAGCCAGGAATCAAAATAAATGAACAAATATGTAAACATATATGTATATATCACAAATATACAGTTTTATAATTGGAAGAGGAAAATCACCTATTGTTTTCAGATTACAAAATTTAAAAAAGGCAAAATTCGGGCTGGGGATATAGCTCAGTTGATAGAGTGCTTGACTCGCATGCATAGGCCCTAGGTTCAATCCCCAGCACCACAAAAATAAATTATAATAAATAAATTTTTTAAAAAAAGCAAAGTTCACTTAAATCTTCAATCTTCTTTGTAGCAACCATTCTCAGTGCTGGTGCAGAAGAGAATCATGCCCCAACACTAATCCACCAACACCTATAAGAGCCAGGGAAACTGTTATTTATCTCCTTTCAATAAAGGAGAGAAGGGATGCAAAACAGATTGAGAAATACTGGTATAATTTTTAAGGGAAATATTTTTAGAATTCAGGACAAAACTAACATTTAAAGAATGGCCAAATGATGAAAAGCTGGCAGTGAAAACCCCTTAGCACAATACAATAGTCAAAAAGGTAGAACCAGGAATGAGTATGATCACAAAAGTCAGGGAGGCACTTCAATAAGAAGATAGTAAACAAATGTGTCAAATATACAACTTCCAAGAAAATGAAAATGGGAGAGTCACTGGATGTGGACATTTGGTCATCCATGATCTTTGACAGTTTTGTTTGACTGGCAGGAGCAACGATAGAAGGCAGGGACTTGAAAATGGTGCACACCTGTAGTCTCAGCTACTCAGGAGGCTGAGGCAGGAGTATCAGGAATTCGAGACCACCCTGGGCAACTTAGCAAGACAATGTCTAGAAAGAAAGGAATAAAGGAAGAAAATAAGAAAATTAATGTAAAAAATAAAGGCAGGGCCAGGCACAGTGGCGCCTATCTGWAATACTAGCAGTTCCAGGGGCTGAGGCAGGAGGATGGCGAGTTCAAAGCCAGCCTCAGCAAAAGCGAGACGCTAAGCAACTCAGTGAGACCCTATCTCTAAATAAAATTACAAATTTGGGTTGGAGATGTGGCTCAGTGACAGAGTGCCCCTGAGTTCAATCCCCAGTACAAAAATAAATAAATAAATAACAAAAGGCAGGGATTTGAAGAATAAATGGGAAGTGAAGAGGTACATAAAGTAAGTTTTCATCTGTTCTTTCAAAGAATAGCTTGGTTTGAAATGAAGAAAAGAATGGAGACTACAGACAGACAAATGGTCAAAAGTCTTCATTTGTTTTTATAGTGAGAGAAGACCCATAAGCATGTTCATGTTCAGTGGAAAAGGATCCAATAAGGAGATTAAATAGAGAGCAAGGAATAAATTATGAAGCAAAGCTTTAAAAGAGAAGGGAAGAATTGATCATATCAGTAACAATTTGAGCTTTAATATGTCTGGGTTTTTATATATATATATATAACAGGAATAAAGAAGTACTTATATCTGAACAATGTTTTAAATGAAAAAGTGAAGCCAGGTGCAGTGGTGCACACAGGTAGTCCCAGTGGCTCAGTGGGATGAAGAAGGATGAAGCAGGAGGATCACTTGAATCCAGGACTTTGGGACTAGCATGCACATCATAGCAAGGCTTTCAGGAAAAAAAAAAAAAATTATACACACACACATACTCTAACTGGATGAATTCAAATTTCTTAAATTTATCAAGATTCCATATCACTAAAGACACTTTCATTCTCTGACCCAGA